AAGCTGATGAGGAGAAGAGAAGCCCAATCGAGATGCAGCAAAAGGTGAGAGAGTGTGTGTCTGTACTTGACACGTCTGACTATTGACTGAAGAAGCAAAGCCACTTGAGAGACCCAGGAGTGAGCATCTGGGAGAGTTAGAGAGAGTTAGTCCCTTTAATTGGTCAGTAACAATAAGTGGAGGTGCAGAACATTTAGCATTGTATGAATGAACTTTGAACCCTCCAAGGGCTGACTGGTACAAGGTCACTGTGCGCTTTAGGACAGAGAGTCTACTATGTATCCCAAATACACAGGCTCCCGTTTGTATTTCATATCCACCGAAGTATACGTGCTGTAACACAGTCCTCTGAGCCTTCTGCTCGCTCACGGTTCAGCTTGTTGACATGTTAACAACATTTGATATTTTATGATAGAAGCATGCTCGTGATCTCTGGTAGCGTGTTAATGGTAAGAGCCAATGTACACTGTTCACACTGTCCAGAACATTTCCACCACTGCTGTTGAAAAAAACTGAACAAGTAAGATGTAGGACAATTTTTAAACAATGTGATGTTTTTACATTTCTTCTATTGAATTAAAGCATTTCAGTAAAAAGAAATGAGATAGAATCCAACTTCTCTTTCTTGTAGGTGCAAACTTAAAGAAACGTCTTATCGCTGTGATCACCAACAAGGACTTCTCCAACAAGTACTAAGCCATGTTTTGCTTGGAAATCAAACACTTTATTAAAAGTTTAAATTATAACTTTTATGCAATGATTTTGATTCCTGGATCTTTGGTTGATACTCTGTAATTAAAAATGTAATTCCTAAAAACTTGTTAAAACCCTTGATTAAAAACTGAAGATTTGCATTTCATCACAAGGTGATGGCTTTATTTAAAATCCAGCATGGTGGCATACAGAGCTAAAAAATACAAATGTGTAATTGTTTAGATACTTGTGGACCTGTATGCTTTTCAGTTTGCTAACAGATTCAGTACTGTACAAAATATTCTTAAAGTAACTAATATAGTTGGTGCATCATCGAATGCAACCCAGCCCCATAGCCCTTCCTCAAGTCTTTCCACCATTCAACATTTACTTTTTTCTTCACATGCAAAACCTACTTCGAGTCAGCATGTATTATGTAACTAGGGCACAGAAAATGTTTACACATCAAGAAAAACAGGTAACTGACAACAAGCGCCCAAATCACCCTGTTCTTGGTTTGAAACACAGATCTCAGAAGGATTACAGTCAGTCAGTCTCATCTTTCACACACTTCTTTAAGCTGGAAGGAGCTAATTAGTATTTATAGATCAAGTCTTTGCTGAAGACTTCAAATGTCAGAGACTGTGTGCATTGCAGAGCTCATTATTAATCCACTTCCTTCATAAATCACAGAGAGATTCATACAGAGAAATACAATTTTTTTTGTTCTGGGCAGCGACTCCTGAACATCTGTCATAGGATGATCTCCTTTCTTCAGTGTCAGCTACTCTACCACGCTTTGATCACCTACTACAAATACAGCAGTTTATGTAAAAAAAAAAAAGTTTGAACAATATATATAAATATAATTTTTAAAGAAGTGGACATGTTAACACAATCTCGCTGTCCTATTTAGAGTTATCTCTGAACTGTTTGTTGTACCGCTGTCTACACATGTACACAGACAAAAACCCACTCACAACTAATAATAGCACAATACCATTATAACCAACAACGCACACACACACACAGATTTACACACACTCATACTGCATTGCTCATGAGGATGCTTCCTTTTAGCCACTTTAACCAGCTAATGTATTCAGAGAGCAGCCACAGGAGGAGCCCCACTTCAAATGCCTCAACACAAAGTAGCACACGCATCCACATTCACAAGCATATTTGTGTACTGACACTCGCACTCCCACATCTCTATCCACTCGCTGCTGAAGTTGATTACAGCAGGCTTTGACTCAGTGGGAGTGGGTCACGGTTGGATGACTTTTCAGATGTTGTGACTCTGAAAAGCCACAACAGGCGGTAAAGCACCACTAAAACTTACTGAAACACATTTCGAAATGAGAGATTTTTATCATTAATGTATCAAATTAGTAACTTTGTTAACTCAGAACTATAACTGAAAACACTAAATGGATACACTACAAAAACAAATTCTGCCTTTTGGTCAGTCTTATCAATTCAAACTGCTTTTAGTTTCACAACTGATCTGATTATATATCTGTAGTTCAACGACCAAAAGTCTGTTTCAGTATAAATGTGTGTAATCAGTCAAAGTTTAGAAAAAAAACACTGATTTGACTAAAGCCACATTATAAAGCTGAAACGGGTAAAGGTGCTAAATAACAGACTGGGGCAGTAGAATTTAAAATTTAATTTGAAATAAATTTTGTTTATTTGTTTAATTATAAAGCACCGAATCACAAGTCACCTCAAACTGCTATATACTGTAAGGTCAAGTTTCTAAAGAACACAGAGAAAACCCCAACAGATGGACAACCCCTATCAGCAAGCACTTGGTGACAGTGGGAAGGAAAAACTCCCTTTTAACAGGAAAAATCCTCCAGCAGAAACAGGCTCAGTGAGGAACAGTTGGGGGTGAGCTCATAGAGTTTTCTGTCAGTGTAATTATCATATTCATTCATTGCTGTAAGTGAACAGCAATGAATGAAGTAGCCACAGCCAAACGTAGGCGCTTCTGCTATTCTGTCTGTGCCCCACAGGATGCGGTTGTTGAGACAGCAGTACATCAACCACATTAACTACAAGAAACCTTCATATAGAGATTCTGCACCACATACACTGCCACTAGTGTGACTGTTAATTAGCAATTAAACTGACACCTAAATGTTTAAGTCTCACATGTGGTCAGCTGGTCTGGGAATAATAAAAAGTGCATTTCCAGTAGTAGATTTTCTTACCTATCACAAGCTGGCTAGACTGTGTGGAAATGTGTTCATCCCAACGGCATTAAAATGCATTAAATTACAATGCACAATAAATGAGTAATATATGAGAATAGTACAGAGTGATACAGGATGCAAGAAAATATCATTCATATTAACCTTTACCTTTGTAATCAGAAATGAATTTTTAATAACTTATAGTTAAACATTTAAAAAGGTCATTGCCCAGGTCACAAACACATATTCTGAAAAGAATGACATATAGTTAGTAAACATTTATACCTACAGGAGCTGCTAAGCCATGCAAGCCCATCCCATGAAGCTCCTGGTGCACAGATCTTGTGCTGCTGTTAATGCCAGAGGAGGTCTGGAACTCTGCAGCCATTAAGGCAGCAGAGCATATAATGTTTTTAGAGGGGTATATTGAACGAATTCATCAGCTACATCATGTTAGATATTTGTCATAGAAAACCGGAAGTTAAGAGACAAAGAAAGAAGGCTTTCATGAACCAGTACACCACACTCACATGACAGATTAAGTCTATACATGGTTTACAGGCGTTTGTTTCCACCTATTTAGTCAGTTAATAAAGATCCAGTGGATGCTTGACAAAACACAGCAGTCAATAAATGAACTATTTGCATGCAAATTTACCTGCAACAGCCTAACAGCTGCAACTTCTGCCACAAACACTTTTTAAACCCTCAGCCTTTTAAAACCCCACGCACAGTCAAACCTGCATATCTAATGGGGGCTCACATGGCAACCATCATCACACACTGTTGGATACACTCCAGTGAACACGGGAAACTGTACGTACACAGGGCAGAAGGTCAGTGATGTACTTCAAAATGCTTTCAGCTTGCCCCTACTGAGCCTTATAATTATTTCAACAGTCAGCAGACTCCCTGCAGATGTTGGCCAGAAATCTATGAATTAAACTTATGTGACCAAAATACTCAAATGATCAGTTTTAACAGTTTTGACACTAAATCGCAGGTAACTGATGGCCAAGTTAAACATAGATGGAAGGGAAGTAAGGCGATGCAGCGGGAATAATAATTTAAAGATTAATCAGCCAGGATAAACATATTTTTTCAGGGATCTTGTGTGTATATATTTATTTATTTATTCTCTATTGGGATTCCACTGTTCTCATGTTAGCTCAAAGCTTACCCAATATGCAAAAAGCCCAGTAAATCCCTGGCACTTACCAACATAAGCTTGACTAAATATATTAAAGTTATAGTCAGAATACATAATTAGCTTATAAACCATCAGGGTAGTGAAGCATATATAAACCCAGACATCCAGTTTGATGGTGTGTTATTTGACTTACAAATGGCAGAGCGTGCTTCAGAGGCAGTGTATTCAGTAGTCTTGCACAAAAACACCATATGCACCTGCTCTGTACAGACAGTTCTGGAGTCATAACGTCACTGTCTGCTCAAAAAGGTTGCTGTGTGCTCTTTGTCTTCAGCCCACCATACCAGATTAAAGCACACCGAGTTACCACATAATCCAGCTACAAAAGCAATGGTTTGCACAGAGCACCTCTGGAACCTACAGCAGCAGAAATTTTGTTTCTAAATATAGCTTATATGCAGGATATGCAGCAGTAAGAATCTCACTGTAATGATCGCAATGTGTGTATGTTTCTCCTCCAAGACACGTAGATCAATCTAGCGTACTGGGATTATCAACATCTACATATAACAATGCAACTATTATTTTTAGAACACACATCTACGAATTATATGTTATGTGTAGTAGCTGATCTCAAATGAATGGAGACATTGTTCACATTATGTGTGCATTACGTGCACACTTACATACCTTTTCGTTTAAACTAAACTGGAATGTGTTGTCGTGCATATCAGTAAATAAGAGTAAATAAGCTTTTTTTGCCGTCTCATATATACAGAGATATAATGAAGATTTTAAAAAGGCAATGTGATAAATTAAAGTACAAAGTCTGTGTTTACATATGTGAGCGATAGCCACAGGCTAGTATTATGAGGACTACGAGCACATCTTGGATGCTGCAGATAATTAACAAGTGTGCCGAATTTATACCAGATGACCTGAACGACATGTCTCACCTTGTCTCTCAGATGATGTTCTGCTGCATCAATGTTCAGCGGGTCATCAAAGTTCAAAAGGTCCTGTGGAAGAGGCAAAGGAGGGGGTCATCATCGTTCGATGGATCAAACCACACACATCTTCAAAACTGGCATTTATTTCAGTATCAGCTACATGTGTTAATTCTGTAAACTTTGGTGTGGGAAATACAACCCACATTCACATTACTTCCTTTCTGTATTGACACCCTGAAAGCAGCAACTGTGATAAACAGAAAGAAAATTGAGCTAAAACAGACGCCTGAGAAGTGGTTTCCTTATAAAGTGGTAGGACTTAGGGCATGGCCACCGATATTTAAAGATGTTAGATGCTGTTTAGACATGTTCGAAATGTGATGAGGTTATTCAAGGTCACATTAAATGACTGGACTAAATATTCAAAATGCTTCAAGCTCCTTAATCTCTTCTTACTATGACAGTAAATAACTTTTTAAAAGTTATTTTTATTTAATTAAAAAAAAAAAAAAAAAAAAAATCAGACATACTTAAAATTCACGTTTAGATTCACAAAATTAAACATTTAACATAATTCTGAAAGGACATTCAGATAACTGTATGTTTTTCCTCAATATAACCCTCAATTCGATTACTTATCAATTTCATTCATTTCCTAAAGAATTTATAATCAATTAGTCCTTATCTTTCCATATAAGACCTGGAACTAGGAGACATCCAGAGCCAGCTGGCCCAGGATCTCGATAAGTAATACGTAATCCAATTTTCCTGCTTTTATTCCCCATCAACTCAAAGCGTTCATCATGAGGAGAAAGATAATTTCTCTACGCTGCAGAAGCGGATAAAAAAAAAAAAACAAGGACCTTGTTTAATTTGATGTGAATTAAGAGTAATGTCATTAGTATAACCTACATACAGCGAGCAGCTTCAATAGTGTGAATGTCTTTGTGAAGGTTTACTCTCCAGTTAAGGGATTTAATTCAGGGAGGGCTTTAGGAAGCTCTTTCGTTGGATTTCCCCGATTTAGATGACGAAATTCTCCAATGAAACTGTGCATGTGTTCACGCGTTAGGTCATAAACTAGCAAAAACTTACAGTAAACAAGGAGTTCAATCCCCAGACCACATCCTAGAAGACAAAAACAAATGAAAGAACATTAACAAAAACACTACACTTACTACATTATATGCATACTATGAACATATTTATACTATGTTTTTAAAAACATTCTGATTTTTGACTTCTGATAATGAAGAAAAACATTTTTGTTTATTTATTAAATTCTATAAAAGCGAATGAAAGATGACGTACAAAACGACAGCACAAAAACATCTTATAAGTCTGGCAAACTTTTTGGAAAGCAGATGTCAGAGACTGATGAACAGCTCAACACAACATGTATAAGATCTATAACACAATGCAAAACTTTTATAAGAAGTCATTTTCTGCTGAAGTGCTCAAAACTAGCAGAGAACGTGAGAATTCCTCAATAGCTGACATCTAACAACACGTTTGTTGAATAAAACACTTAAAGGCCAGCCTTTCTTTGTTTTGGTGTAAGTGTATTTCCCCTATCTGAAAACACGTTAAAGATAAACTGTTTCCTTGACCAGAATGTCAAAAACAGCAAACATTTTTATACATAACCTGTTACATAAACACATTTTTACACGTCTAGTAATTTCCTCAAAAGCAAAAAGATGTTTTTCAGTGCCGTCTCATGTTGGGATTATGCACAGTAAAAAGGTTGAAGGGTGATCTTCACCCACAATAGCTACAGTAAAGAAAAAAAAGACAGTTAGAAATGACAACAAGTACATCAGAAGAAATTGTGAGAGACCAAAAAGACTAAATAATCTTCATTTCATTCACTTGCTAAATACAACTTGCAATACTGATCATTTTAAAGGATTACTTTGATTTAACTGAATGCTTTCAGAGGTTTCGTTTACCTTCATTCATGCCATAAGAAAATATTTTGTTAATTTACATAATTACATGAAGTTCTGAGTAATGATTATTTTAAAAGACAAACAACTAGCTTGTCTTTCAAAGTTCTGAAGGTGTGCACTGGATGCTTTGTGAGAAAAGTAAACACAAAGCCTTCTCGTTGTACAATGTTCATGATATTAAAACCAAAAGTTTTCTCTTCCAAATCATGGTGAGCTAAAACTAAATCCCTTCCAGCTTTTATTAAAGCCAGTCTAAAGTAAGAGATTATTTTTTACTTTGCTTTACTTTTTCTTAAAGCTGTAAGGCACTGCAGCCAGTGATATGCCCTTCTAAGCAGAAGAAAGTTTATGAGCAACAAGAAAAAGAAAGGGAAAAAGAAAAGTCAACACAAGCTCCGAGTGAACTAGAAGTTAGGTAGGTAAAAACCATTTTAGAGAAAACATCCGCAAAACACAGAAGGAAAAAATGTGAGGAAACTGGTTACCTGAAGAAAAACAAAAACAATGTTATTACCACTCCAATCAACCTAGAAGCAAAAAACTACACTCTACTGACTTACTTTACATACTTCACTGCAAGGACACCCCGGCAGCCCAGTGCTCAGAGCCACGAGTGTGAGCAGAAGTCAGCAAAAGTCAGTAAAAGAGAAAGGACGACTTTGAAAAGTGTCACGACGCCTTTCCAATCAACATTTCCAGAATTTTCTAAAAGCTATGGTGCACCTTAAAAACAAACATCGGATTTAAACTGTGAAACAAACATTGCTTTTTTTCTAATCCTTTAACAAAAAGAACCTCTGGCAGCATTTCTGATTAGTCAGCAAATAGTTTTGTTTGAAGTGAATTCATAAAACCACAAAGATGATTCTCAGTACTGGAACTACTGATATAGGACCTGACTATAAAGCACCTATTAGAAACACTTACATAGAATAAGTTGAAAATAAATACATGTAGGCACAATATTTCTGCTGAAATAAACCTTAAAGCAATGAAATATTGAATATGGCATGACTATATACAAATACACACAGCAAAGATATTTCACGTAGCAGTGTGTGGGCTGAAGTACAGAAGAGCGGTGACCAACAATCCTTTTGTTGTGTTTTCTTTTCACTTTTGTGAACCTGATGACACTTGCTGACGCACATCAACCCAAAGTCAACCACTCTCACACATATGATCACACTCACACCTACCTTTAGGTAAACAAACACAGGCCACGTTTTAACTTGAGCTGGGGTCACACAGAGAGACAGGCCAGGAATAGAAAGGGACAGCCACAAAAAACCTTAAACAATATGACTGTGAGCATCACTCGAAGCCTTTTATGTCCTTCATAAATCGTTCCACCAGATAATCAGTGAAAGGCTGTTTAAATGTTGCCATTTTTAATTATAATAGCTGTTCTAGCAACCACTTAGCTTTGGATATGCAAAGTACAATCGTAATTTGGACAGATTTAGAGCCAGTTTAAGGCCAAAGCAGTGTTGGGGGTTATTCATTACAAAGTTATGCATTTTACTATAATCATTTGTACTTTGGCATGTACGCTTTCTCCTCCTTAGCAGCTGGGCCAATATGAAACTTTGCACAGACATCATCACACATACAGCAATCATTAACATCTATGCTTTTAAATTTATTTTAAATCAGAATTCTCTTGATTTTTCTCTATTCTTATTAGTGCTGCCACGATTAGTCGACTAGTCACGAAAAATCGTCGACTATCAAAATCGTCGACGACTGATTTAATAGTCGACGCGTTGTTTGAAGCTTTATAAGATCACAAAAGACGCAGGAATAAGTAGTAGGATTTAACAGTGTAATAACGGACTGAAACAGAAGATGGCAGCACTGCATGTACAAGGATGCCAGCTGCCGTTAAACCCCGAAGAAGAAGTAGCTGTGTCCCAGAATTCATAGCGCGGCCCTGCTCAGTTTCCAACAATGGCGGCAGCTAGTTAGTCTTAATATTACTCTTATTATTCTTTCTGGGTCACAAAATAAACTCAGTTTATCAAGACACCACATATTTTCAAAAGCGCTCCGACGTTTTTGGAGACGTCTGTTACCCACTAGCTCGATAGCTAGCCGGGGGCTAGGCTCACTAGAGCCCGTGAGAACACCGGACCCCCGGCAAATCGTTTTCAAACCCACCGCCGTCTTTCACTTCTCAGGTTAAACATGATATATAAGTCACTTAGATAACTTAAAAATGTTATTATTTGGCTTTTTTCAGTATTTTATTTGTTCCTGAGTAAATCGGTTTGGCTGAGATTAAAGTTATAGTTTTTACACAGCTGAATAAACGTCAAGCAGACAGCTGATTATCAGAAATGTGAGATGCTCGAGAATTTACTCCGGTGTCCTTTTATATTTTAGATAGCAAGGAGTTTATTAAACTTCACCGAAACAATCTGCAAATTTCATTAAAATTTAATAAACTACCATCTTGTCTTTATTTTTACTTAGCACATACCTTAAACACTTAAAGCTGTAAGCTATTGATAGTTATATAAGAGCAGATGCATGTTGGTGCAATAAGCTGTACGCTGTACGTCCAATGGATGATGATCTGATTAGTCGACTAATCGCAAAAATAATCGGTGACTAGTCGACTATCAAAATAATCGTTTGTGGCAGCCCTAATTCTTATATTATGTTTTTGTCAATAACAAGCACTACTACTTACTGTATAATAGGTCTGACAGCTAAAGCTTGGGCAAAATCAGGAAATTGATCTCGACAATGATCCCAAACACAGCAGCAAACCTCTAACAGAATGGCTGCAAAAGAAAAGAATCGAGGTGTTGCAACAGCCCTGTCAAAGATCAGACCTCAAGTCGAGAGAAACCCTGTGGACTCAAACAATCATCTCAAGTTATTACTCTTAAAGTTCTACAAGTAGTCGAATTGTGGGATGTACTCGTTTTTTGCACACACACTTCTACTGCATTTTTGTGAAGCTTTGCGAAGTTTTTCACAGGACTGATTGTGTGAGAGTAGCCTCTAATTGTTCTGAACGGAGCCACAGGACTGTAACCCATATGTATTATGGGCTCATTCTAATAACATCTCCTGTCATTCAAAGTAAATTAACAGTCTGAGCAGCAACTATCAAAACCACCTTAGATGCAAATTAAAGTATAATAAATGCAAGTCTGCCACAAACTTTGGTAAATCCCATTTGTATGATTCATTCAAATACTCTTCTCAAAAAAAAATTACATTGTGTAAGGAATACATATGCAAAAATGTATTTGTCCACGACTTGTTTTTTTTAACATTACGATAAAGAGAAAACCAATTATGTCCTCACACTGGATACAAAGTTGCTTTCTGTGCAGTGCCTTCTTATAATCAAAGTCATGGAAAAGAAAACGACAGAGGAACCGCGGCTGAAGTACTTTATCAAAGAGGTTTCAGAGTAAAGTGTTCTCCATTTCTCAGATTTTCAACATTTTAAGTTTCATTTTATAGAAATAAAAATGCTTTTTTAAAATCAGCACAGATTAGGATTTGTTTTATTTTTTATACTTTATACATTTCCACTGTGTTCTGGAAAGTAGTGCCAACAAGCAACATGAGATTAAAGTCGAATGTAACGTAATTGATTTGAGCTTCGGAGGAGGATTTGTGGGGTTCCATAGAAGTAATCAGAGGAAGGTAAATGAAAATAAGACTATGTGTGCATGTCCGCTACATCAACTGTGATTGTACACCAAACCACAACAAGAAAAACTGCTTATAACCACAGCATATACAGGCTGAGCAACTCATGAGCTCTATAACCTTAACAAATTGTGACAACATCTAAAATGTAATCAAAAACTGACTTAGGGATTTGGAAATTATTTCAATTCTACATTTATTAGAAAATAATACAAAAACTACATGCAAATTTAACCTTTTTAGTTTAACATTTTCTGTGTCTGTGAATTTACCATGGGTGTGTTATTCACTACCTTGTGTTGCTCACAGAGATTACTGTGAAAAAGAGTGTATACACCTGCGCAGCGCTAACAATTACATTTCTTTTTTTACAGCAGATGGTTAATCAATTGATTTGATCATGTGATTTAGAGCAGGACACAACTTAATGATGTTTTTCTACCACAGGATTACTGAGATATTGTGTGAAGAAAACTGTGGTTACAGGATATATGTTGATGA